GAGGGAGGGAGGGAGGGAGGGGAGAGAATCGTATCATCCCCTGTCTTAAGGAACTTATTCCTGTGGTAAAAATAGAGATGGTGGGGAGAAAGATACAAGCCCTTCAGCATTAGCATTATGATAAAGAAACTAGTTTTCAATTTAAAATCTCCATTGTGTACTACAAAAATCGAGCTTTCTAGTTCTTTACCTTGCCCTCTAAAAGTCAACCTAAAAATATTAATCATTAGATTTGGAGAAATTATCAAGCCTATTATTTACTTTTACTTTATATTTCTATGGGTACCTTTGTTATATAGCAATGACCTTAAGGGTTTTATATCACAATAGCCAACACTGAAGTATTTCCTTTAAAACCTGGCCATGAAGTTGCATTCATCTGATTTAATAATGCATCCATTTTTGGGAAATGATTATATATACAAATTAAAGCAGATTCCTGGATGTCAGATTTTCTCTAACAAAAAGTGGTGAACATTCCATGATGTTCTCCCTTTGCTAAAAAGAAAAAAAAAAGTCAGCATTAATTATTCAGTAAAAAAGGTCAGCATTATTTACCCTAGTATGTAATATCAAAATCTCTACTTCAAACTGAAAACTAAAGCATAAAAGCACTTTCCATTTCTACACAGGAGGACCGATGCAAAATTCCAAATCACACACAAGAAGCCTATCCAGTATCCATTCAGCACAGACCCAGTATCATTCTGTGCTTACCTTACCAATCTAGCTGCCTTTGTTAATTCTGAATGATGCCAATTTCAGACAAGCCCTTTTATGTCTTGTATGAGTCACTTTGCTAGCTCAGGGATTCTCTCGTACATTGACCCAATTAGATACAGAAAGAGTGGGAAACTTTGCAGTTTCAAGGATAGAAGAAAATTCTAAAAGGTAATAATTGTATTGCCAGCAGTCTCATGGAGACACTGGTCAGCACAAGAGTTCATCTGCCAGCTGTCATTTTTTGGTTTTTACTGCAAGAGCATCTATTTCCTTGCAGCTAAAAGGACTAGTAAAAGAAAATGGAAATGATTGGCTTTGAAAGATTTTGCCCTTTAGACATGCATGACTGGGGCCCATCGTCCCTTGCAATAAAATTGGACCATTCCAAATGCACATTCCAGTGACAATGTATGTGCCCTGCACTGCTTTCATGGGACCATCCAATGGAATTATGCATAGTAGTGCACCTTCCACTGAAAGCTATGAGGTGTGACAAAGAATCTTCTGGCTCTTTAAAGCCTAACCATTGTAAACAATCATAGTATTAGGATGCAAATCTGGACTCAGATCCCTTTTGCACATCAATCAATGTCTTCATGATTGCCATTCTACTTATATCCTTCAGAAAGCTTATAATGGTTTCCACAGGGTTCACGGGATCTCCCAGAGAAACTCTTAATGGTCCATGATGTTGTTGGATCAACTCTTCCTAGAGCAGTAAATACAGAACTACATAAAAATGAGGTATAATTTACAAAATGTCACATGTTTTGCTTAGACAACAGACCTTTGGGTGATTTATCCAACAAGAAACTAGGTCTCCACATCTTAACTAGCAGAAGCAGGCTAGACTGCACCTTCACCTGGAAAGAAGCAGCTATCAGTACAAAAGACAGGCCTTATATAGGGGAACAGTTCATGCCACTGCGCTGCAGCCACCATTCCAAAAACAACTGCCTGCTCCCCCAAAGCTGTGACATCGTAGTTCCTGCTACAGTGCCTGTGATGTAACAAGATCCCACTGCAAGAGCAACAGAGCTAATTCAAAGCATATATAAACACTCATTGAAAAATTGTGTCAAGAGTCCTAGGTCAAAAGAGAGAGGGATAAATGTCTCTTCCATTGGTCCCCTAACAGGCACTGCCCTACACTTTCAGGTGATATCCATCCTTATGATTGACTCCATTTTACAGCATCACTCAGCTATCAGCAAGTGATGATAAAGCTTGTCTCAGTACAGTGCTGGCTGGATGACACTCTAAGGCCATTTCTCCACTAGCAACTTAAAGCATCTTCACAGAATCCTCCAGCCATCACTTAAGTGATATAAAGCCTGTTCCTCACTGTTATTTTGCCACAGCGTTGGCTGGATGAATCTAGAAGGTACTGTAAGTCACTAGTATGGAAATGACTGAAGTGGTATCAGTTCACTGGGCTGGACCTGGCATCCATCAACTGGAAAGGCTTCTGTCTGCCCTGCTCCGCCCTTTAGGAAGAACCCCTGCTAGCATTCCAGGGGTGAGGGCCACACAGACCTCACAGCCTTGCTGCCAGACTTCAAGGGAGCTGCCAGCGATCCACGTTGGGCACTTGAGGGAGGGCAGGAATGTTCTGCACTGCCTTTCCTAAGGAGCCAAGAGACCCAAAGGCTGCCCCCCACCCTTAATGGAGCCTGTCCTCTGCCCTCTGATTCTTCTTATCCTTCTCTTTAACTCCTGAGAGAAGATCAGAGCTGAGGAAAAACAACACCCTAGACCCATAGCTGTCTGAGCGGTTGCTTTTTTGACAGGTGTCTGGAGAGATTTAGTTGGAGGGGAGAGTTTGTTTTGACTTTGCACCTCCGCCATTTTTATCGAGCTCCCTCTGCCCCCCCCCCCTCATCCTCGGACCCCAACGAACACCCGTTGTCGCAGCCAAAATGGAGTTTGCCTGTCACTCCCACGCAGATCTGGCCGCTGCCCTGCCCTGCCGAACGCAACACCCGAACTCCCTCGAACTCTAACGGGAGCGCCAGGATGCAAGGCTGCCTTGCTTCCCTATAGAAGCTCGGCTTCTAAAACGGACGCCGGTACCGAATCCCGAAGTGACCAACTAGTTCACTCTGGTCCAAAAAGCGAGCAAGTAACGTCGCCGCTCCAACAGGCTCCTGCAATTCGGATCACGAAGACCCTCCTGGGGAGGGCAGGCTGGGCAGCCGGCTGAATTCCCAAGTCCAGGGGAGCGGCTGAAGGTCCGCGAGAAGCCCCAACACTTGCGCCGGGGACCAAGGGCAAACTTTGCTAGCTCCGACTCGGCGCCTTCGTGCCCGCGACTCCAGCCCCATCGCGTCCCAGCCCCTTACCTTTTGGCGCGCCTTCACAGCCGCTCCGCCGGCGCGTCCTCGCGGCGGGGGTCGCCGCTCCCCATTTTCTTCT